AATACAAAAATTAGCCAGGTATGGTGACACACGCCTGTAATCCCAGCTTACTTGGGAGGTTGAGGCAGGAGAATCACTTGAACCTGGGAGGTAGAGGTTGAGGTGAGCCAAGATCACACCACTGCACTCCAGCCTGGGTGACAGTGAGACTGTATAAAAAACAAAACAAACAAAAAAACAAGTTAGAGGCTGGGCACGGTGGCTCACGCCTGTAATCCCAACGCTTTGGAAGGCCGAGGCGGGTGGATCACGAGGTTAGGAGATCGAGACCATCCTGATTAACACGGTGAAACCCCATCTCTACTTAAAAAAAAAAAAGAAATTAGCCGGGTGTGGTGGCAGTTGCCTTGTAGTTCCAGCTACTCGGGAGGCTGAGGCAGGAGAATGGCGTGAACCCGGGAGGCAGAGCATGCAGTGAGCTGAGATCGCACCACTGCACTCCAGCCTGGGTGACAGAGCGAGGCTCCATCTCAAAAAAAACAAAAACAAACAAACAAAAAAAACCAAGTTAGAATATATTCAGGTTTATCCCTATAATCACATCTCTTTCAGTCATTTGTTTTTGAGAGGAAAGAGAAAGGTGGAATTACTTTTAGCTGTTTTGAAATGAGTGTTGTTTGTATGCTGGCTCATCTGGAGCCCACAGTCCAGATGCTCTCAGAATTTAGCATCATCAGAATTACCTGCAGGCTTGTTAAACTCAGATTGCTGGGAATCAGGGAATCACTTTTTTATTTTTTATTTTTTTTGAGACAGTATCTCACTCTCTTGCCCAGACTGGAGTGCAGTGGCACGATCTCAGCTCACCGCAACTTCCACCTCCCTGGCTCAAGCGAGTCTCCTGCCTCAGATTCCCAAGTACCTGGGATGACAGGTGTGTGCCACCACCGCCCGGCTAATTTTTGTATCTTTAGTAGAGATGGGGTTTCGCCATGTTGGCTAGGCTGGTCTTGAACCCCTGACCTCAAACAATCCACCCGCCTCAGCCTCCCAAAGTGCTGGGTTTATAGGCATGAGCCTCCGTGCCCAGTTTCAGAGCTCTTGATATAGGAAGTCTACAGTGGGGTCCAAGAACGTGCATTTCCAAGGAAATCCCAAATGACACTGATGCTGCTGACTGGTGGAATCACACTTCGAGAGCACCTGCCACAACCTAAATAGGCAATAATAAATAAATAAATAAATAAATAAATAAATAATCAAAGTATTAGTAATAGCTGTGACTACTTTGAATGATTGTAGTTCTTTTTTTTTGAGACAGAGTCTTGCTCTGTCACCCAGGCTGGAGTGCAGTGGCCGGATCTCAGTTCACTGCAAGCTCCGCCTCCCGGGTTTACGCCATTCTCCTGCCTCAGCCTCCCGAGTAGCTGGGACTACAGGCGCCTGTCACCTCGCCCAGCTAGTTTTTTGTATTTTTTAGTAGAGACGGGGTTTCACCGTGTTAGCCAGGACGGTCTTGATCTCCTGAGCTCGTGATCCACCTGTCTCGGCCTCCCAAAGTGCTAGGATTACAGGCTTGAGCCACTGCGCCCGGCCGAATCATTGTAGTTCTTTATTTATCTTCAACATTTTTGGCTTTCACCAAAATCCACGTATATCCAATGGAAATTTGTCCCGTAAGTCAAAATGTCTGTCTTGTGTGTTGCAAGTGATCAAAGATTAAGGACCAATTGCTTCCATAGAACATTCAGGAACATTTCCATCTTACAGTACAAGTGCTATAGTTGTTCATCTAAACATGTCTCAAGTTCACCAATTTATCCTGGTGAATTTATCTACACTTTCAAGAGAACCATTATTATTATTATTTATTTTAAAGAAACAGGGTCTTACTCTGTCACCCAGGCTGGGGTGCAGTGGCAAGATCATAGCTCAGTGCAGCCTCAAATTCCTGGGCTCAACTGGTCCTCCCACTTCAGCCTCCAGAGTAGCTGAGACAACAGTTATGCACCACCACAACCAGCTAGTTTTTAAAAAATTTTTTTTGTAAAGACAAAGTCACGCTCTGTTGTCTAGGTTGGTCTCAAACTCCTGGCAAGAGTATAATTATTAGCATTCAAGGTATAACTATTTAAGGTATAATTATTACTGTTATATTTCATGTTGACTACTGCAATAGCTTCCTGTCTCCCAGGTTATCCACATGAAGCCAGATGAATCTTTTTAAAATGCAGTTTTTGTTGTTGCTGTGGTTGTTTTGTTTTTTGAAGTTGAGTCTCTTTTTGTTGCCCAGTCTGGAGTGCAATGGCCTGATCTCAGCTCACTGCAACCTCCGCCTCCCAGGTTCAAGCGATTCTCCTGCCTCAGCCTCCCGAATAGCTGGGATTACAGGCACACGCCACCATGCCTGGCTATTTTTTGTATTTTTAGTAGAGACAGGGTTACATCTTACTGGCCAAGTTGCTCTCGAATTCCTGACCTTGTGATCCAACCACCTCAGTCTCTCAAAGCCACCACATCTGGCCTTAAAATGCAAATTTGATCCTGCTACCTGCTTGCATAAAACTCTCCAGTCCTCCCAATCTTCTCAGGAAAAAGTCCAGTACCTTTAACACAGCTTCCATAACCCGGCCCCTGTCCACCTTACAAACCACTCCCCTCCAACCACAAAGACATTCTTTCAGTTCTTCATTCTCAACTAGGCTGCTCCTTTCACATGCAGGGTCTTAGCACCATACTGTCCTCTCACTCAGAAATATTTCTTCCCCCTTATCTTATTAACTCTTCCTCTTTTGGCCGGGCGCGGTGGCTCACACCTGTCATCCCAGCACTTTGGGAGGCTGAGGCGGGTGGATCACGAGGTCAGGAGATCAAGACCATGGTGAAAACCCATCTCTAATAAAAATACAAAAAATTAGCCAGGTGTGGTGGTGGGCGCCTGTAGTCCCAGCTACTCGGGAGGCTGAGGCAGGAGAATGGCAGGAACCCAGGAGGCGGAGCTTGCAGTGAGCCAAGACCACGTCACTGCACTACAGCCTGGGCGACAGAGAGAGACTCCGTCTCAAACAAACAAACAAACAAACAAACTCTTCCTCTTTCTTCGGAGCTCAGTTTATGCCATTTCCTCAAGAAAGCCTTCCGTTTCTCCCAGGCCAGATCAATATCCTCTGTGACATGATTTTATAGAACCATGTTCCATTCCTTCGGAGCACTAACTCCTTTTCTCTAGGGTCTTCATGTGTTATCTGCAGGAGAGAAGGACCGAAACTGTTTTGTTTTGTTTTGTTTGGTTTGAGACAGATTCTTGCTCTGCCGCCCAGGCTGGAGTGCAGAGGCACCATCTCAGCTCACTGCAACCTCCACTTCCCAGGTTCAAGTGATTCTCCCACCTCAGCCTCCCAAGTAGTTGGGACTACAGGCTACCAAGCCCAGCTATTTTTTGTAGTATTTTTAGTAGAGATGGTGTTTGACCATGTTGGCCAGGCTGGTGTCCAACTCCTGACCTCAAGTTATCCACTTGCTTCAGTCTCCCAAAGTGCTGGATTACAAGCACGAGCCACCGCGCCAGGCCCCAAGACTGTTTTTACTACCAGTGTATTTCTAGTGCCTGGTGCAACACTTTGTAAGTGTCAGTAAACAAATGTTGGATAAAATTTTTAAATGCATGTTTGTTTCCTCAGTCCCTACTATGCAGTAAATCTTACACTGGGCCCTAAAGGGGAATCAAGGTTAGTAAGAGAGATCCTTGACCTTAAGGAGCTCCATGCCAGTTAGAAGCAATGGATCTGTAAACCAAAAGTACCTGAGACCAGTCTCAATCAATTGAGAAAGTTTATACTGCCAAGGTGAAGGATGAGATGATGACACGGCCTCAGGAGCTCCTCAGGACATGTGCCCAAGGTGGTCAGGTACAGTTTGGTTTTATACATTTTAGGGAGACATGAGTCATCAATCAATACATGTAAGATGTACATTGGTTAGGTCCGGAAAGACGGGCCAACTCGGGGCAGTTGGGGGGCTTCCACCTTATAGGTAGACTTAAAGATTTTTTCATTGGTAATTGGTTGAAAGAGTTATTATCTAAGGACCTGGAAGTAAATAGAAAGGAATAGCTGGTTACGATTATAAGGGGTTGTGGAGACCAAGGTTTTATCATGCAGATGAGGCTTCCAGGTAGCAGGATTCAGATAGAATAGATTGTAAATATTTCTTATCGGTCTTGAGTCTACCAGTCTTAAGGTCTCTGTGTTGATGTTTGTGAGGCATGTCTGACTACCACTTCCCATCATGGCCTGAACTAGTTTTTCAGGATAAACTGGAATGTCCTTGGCTTAGGATAGGGTCCACCAGTCAGTTGGGGGCTTAGACTTTTATTTTTGGTTTACAGTTATGACATGGACTATAGAGACACATTTCTACAACACAGTAGAAGTGCAACATGAGAAGAACGAAGAGCTTTAGGGGACAAGTGGAGGAGGGAGACATCAATCCCAGATGGGGAAAATCAATTCACTTTCTTTTTGTGTGTGGTGTTACTTTTTTACGTCAACGTACATCTTGAATAAATAACTATAGTTCTCCCTATGTGCTATGCGCTGTCCTGAGTGTTTTATGTAGTTAAGGATATTGAGATTTTACAGATGGGGAAAACAATGCTCACCACGGTCAAGTGACTTGCTCAAAGTCACACAGCTACTAAGTGGTAGAAAAGGCAGTTGAACCCAGGCTGCTTGGCTCCAGAGTCTAATATCACGCGGAAAATCTCATGGGAGACGTAGCAACTAAGCCGTGCTTCATTGAAGTATCTGTCCAGGTGGAAAGCCGCAGGGCCTCTCTAGCAAAATCCAGAACCAGAGAATACTTGCTTAATTATGAGTTTCGTTCCTTCCTTTGCCCACTATCCCCATTTAACGTGCGGAGGGATTTCACAAGTGCACTGAAAGAAGACGCCGGGGACTATGGAACACTAACTTCCGGCTACGGCGAGTGAGGCTGTTTCCATGGAAACAGTAACGGGTTGGCAGCTAGGTAGATTCTCGCGGTGCTTGAACCAGCGGAAGTGACGTCGCCGCTCGCGAGGCCCTCAGGTGGCTTGCCGCGGCCCCTCCTCCCAGAGCGGCAGCCTTTTCCCGCGCGTGGTGCCTTCGGCGCTCGGGCCGCCCGGAGGAAAACATGGCGTCTGCCCTGGAGCAGTTCGTGAACAGTGTCCGGCAGCTCTCGGCTCAAGGTGAGGCCCTAGGTCGCCGGGCTGGGCATGGGCGGGTACCGGGGACGGGCCTGCATCCCCAGGCGACGGGCCTGCATCCCCAGGCGCCAGCACGGATGGCTGGGACAGCTCTTTTAGTCCTGAGCCTATTCTCTGGGGCCGGGCTATGGGTTGCGGCGTTTAGATAAGGGCAGGATCGAGCGCGGCCAAGTGTAGGCAGCCCTCTCGTGCTCCGCTGTCCTCGCCGGCCGGCCTTCCCTCCCTCGGGCCGCCGGGAGCCCCCTCCCCCCGGCCTGGGCCCCTTCCACCGGGTGCTTTGCTTGACAGTTTGGGGGCGTGACTTCCGCCAGGCGACATCTCGGGCGACTATTGGTCCCTTCTGTCTCTCTTGCCTTCGGTGATTGGCGCACCGCCATGTCAGCTTCGCCGCAGCTCCGCCGCCTGCTGACTAGGCCGCCGGGAGCGGGCGGGAGGCGAGTCGGTTCTGGGTGCCTTGTCTCTGCGGCTCGCCTCGGCCAGCTCCGCTGCCAGGCGGCGTACGCTCGGGAACCCGTGCGCCTATTTTGGTCCTACAGAATGCTGCGGAAGCTCTCGCTCGTAGCTCTCCATTTCTTTTTCTTTCTTTCTTTCTTTTTTGAGACAGAGTCTCGCTCTGTCGCCGAGGCTGGAGTGCAGTGACGCGATCTCGGCTCACTGCAACCTCAGCCTCCCGGGTTCAAGCGATTCTCCTGTCTCAGTCTCCCGAGTAGTTGAGATTATAGGCGCCCACCAGCTCACACAGCTGTTTTTTTTGTTTTTTGTTTTTTGTTTTGAGACGGAGTCTCACTCTGTCTCCCAGGCTGGAGTGCAGTGGCAGGATCTCGGCTCTCCTCAACCTCCGCCTCCCGGGTTCAAGCGATTCTCCTGTCTCAGCCTCCCGAGTAGCTGAGATTACAGGCGCCTGCCAGCTCACACGGCTATTTTTTTTTTTTAAGACGGAGTCTCACTGTCTCCCAGGCTGGAGCGCAGTGGTGCGATCTCGGCTCACCTCAATCTCCACCTCCTGGGTTCAAGCGATTGTCCTGCCTCAGCCTCCCGAGTAGCTGGGATTACAGGCGCCTACCACCACGCCCGGCTAATTTTTGTATTTTTAGTAGAGACAGGGTTTCACCATGTTGGCCTGGCTGGTCTCCAACTCCTGACCTCAGGTGATCCACTGGCCTCGGCCTTCCAAAGTGCTGGGATTACAGGCGTGAGCCACCGCGGCCAGCCCACGCGGCTTTTTTTTTTTTTGTATTTTTTTGTAGAGATGGTTACCCCCCACTCTCCCGCCCCGAGACGGAGTCTTGCTCTGTAGCCCGGGCTGGAGTGCAGTGGCGCGATCTCGGCTCACTGCAAGGTCTGCCTCCCGGGTTCACGCCATTCTCCTGCCTCAGCCTCCCGAGTAACTGGGACTACAGGTGCCGGACACCACGCCCGGGCTAATTTTTTTTTTCTTCTTTTTTTTTTTTTTTTTTTTTTTGAGACGGAGTCTCGCTCTGTCCCCAGGCTGGAGTGCAGTGGCCGGATCTCAGCTCACTGCCAAGCTCCGCCTCCGGGTTCACGCCATTCTCCTGCCTCCGCCCCGAGTAGCTGGGACTACAGGCGCCCGCCACACTCGCCGGCTAGTTTTTGTTTTTAATAGAGAGGGGGTTTCACCGTGTTAGCCAGGATGGTTCGATCTCTGACTCGTGATCCGCCCGTCTCGGCCCCCAAAGGTGCTGGGATTACAGGGCTTTGAGCCGCCGCGCCCAGCCGAGGATGGGGTTTTACCACGTTGGCCAGACTGGTTTCAAACTCCTTACCTCAAGCGATTTGCCCACTTCGGCCTCCCAAAGTGCTAGGATTACAGGTGTGAGCCACTGCGCCCAGCCAGGACTCCATTTTTAGGGGTAGAATTGTGATGATTTTGCTCTCATTTTCCACGTTGTTTGGTTCATTCATTGCATATGAATGTACCAAATTCTGGACCCGAAATTAGAATAATTAGATGCTGGCTGTGAAGGCCCCTTTAACTATCCCGTGCTTCAGTTTCTTCGTCCGCAAAATAGGTCCCTAGTTTATATAGAGTTGTGAAGATTCAATGAGAGAAGCCATGTAAAAGCACTTGGAACAGTGACTGTCATAAGGGGTGCAATAAAAGCAGCTGCAAATTATTGTTACCGTCATTAATTGTAAAGTTCTAGGAGCTGCATGACCTTGGACAAGTCACCTTTAATCTCTGAGTCTTTTGTATCTCCATTGTAAAAATGGAGGGGTGCTTTTACCTCACTGGTGTAAGACAAATGATCTGATATGGAGCTGCACTTAATAGTGAGTTCTTTCTCTTTTTCCTTTTTATTAATAGAAATTAGGTTCACAGGGAAGGCACAGGCTTGCTTTTTCCATTAATAAAGGAACCACTGGTTTAATTTATGCCACAAATACCTAGTGTTCTCCTTCCTGGGGTGTAGTGTAGTTAGAAACTTCAGGTTGAAATCCTGTCTCGGTCACTTCTTGTGTGAGCCACTTAATTTCCCTGGGCCAATTTTCTTAATTATAAAACAGAACTAGGGCTGTTGTGGGCATCAGGTTATAGGATGCTATAGGAACAGTTTGCTAGACAGAGATAAATATGGTAACTTTCATTGCTGTTGGCTGCTGTGCCTCACACTCACTGCATAGGAAATCTTTGAGTTTTAGGCCAGGCGGGTGTGGTGGCTCAGTTAGGTAATTCCAGCACTTTGGGAGACCAAGCTCACTCATGTATTTCCAGCACTTTGGGAGACCAAGGCGGGCAGATCACCTGAGGTCAGGAGTTGGAGACCAGCCAGGCCAACATGGTGAAACCCCATCTCTACTAAAAATACAAAAAATTAGCCGGGCGTGGTGGCGGGAGCCTGTAGTCCCAGCTATTCGGGAGTCTGAGACAGGAGAATAGTGTGAACCCGGGAGGCTGAGCTTGCAGTGAGCCAAGATCGCGCCACTGCACTCCAGCCTGGGAGACAGAGCGAGACTCTGTCTCAAAATAAATAAATAAATAAAAGAATTTTATTGCCCACATCTCTGGTTGGACTGATTTCAGATGCACTCTGTGACACTTAAGCTTTTTTTTGACTCTGCCCTTGGCCCTGCACTAATTAATTATCTAATGATTCTATAGTGACCCAGCTTTTATTTCAGTCTCAACTTGGCACTGATTGTTAACTAGTAGAGAACTAATGGATTGCAATGCTTATTTCTGGGTGCTACAAATTATTGTTAATATATTTAGAGTAATGGGTTAAAAGGCAAATTATTCAACTAGAAGAAGTTACTTCATACCTACCAGTGAGATCTGTAATACAATGAAGATGAGTTGGTATTTCCCAGTTAAATCTGTGTGATCTCAAGAGGTGATACCTAATAAGATCACAGCTGTTTTATTTTTGTTTTGTAATGCATGTGTGTAATATGTTTCCTTTGCTTTCAGTAAAACGTATCAAATTGAAAAGTGTTAAATTATCAAAAGTACCTAGCTATAGTCACTTGTATTTTAAACTTTATACTATGCTGTATTCTTCTAGTAAGGAAAAGATTATGCAGTTGCTCTGCAGAAATAGAGAAGTTGGAAACTTGAGGTTAATGCCCATGGTCTTAAATGTATCCCTGCTGTTACCAGAAAGACAGCTAGAGTGTGACCATCGTATCTTCATGAGAGTAATTGTCAAAATTGATGGGTCTACTTCGAGGTACCAATTTAGGCCTAATTTTTTTTTCCCCCCGAGACGGAGTCTTGCTTTGTTGCCCAGGCTGGAGTGCAGTGGTGCAATCTCAGCTTACTGCAGCCTCCGTCTCCCGGGTTCAAGGATTCTCCCACCTCAGTCTCCCTGGTAGCTGGGATTACAGGTGTGTGCCACCACACCCAGCTAATTTTTGTATTTTTAGTAGAGACGGTTTCTCCATGTTGGCCAGCCTGGTCTTGAACTCCTGACCTCGAGATTTGTCCACCTTATCCTCCCAAAGTGCTAGTATTATAGGTGTGAGCCACAGCACCCGGCTGAGGCCTAATTATTAATAGATTCTGTACCTTAGTTGTTAAAGTGTAGCATTGCAGGCTGGGCATGGTGGCTTATGCCTCTAATCCCAGCACTTTGGGAGGCCAAGGTGGGAGGATTACTTGGGCCCAGGAGTTAGAGACCAGCCTGGGCAACATAGCGAGACTCCTGTCTCTACAAAAAACTTAAAAAATAAGATGGACATGGTGACGTACACCTGTAGTTCCAGCTACTCAGGAGGCTAAGGTGGGAGGATTGCTTGAACCCAGGACGTGGAGGCTACTTTGAGCTGTGATCACACCACTGCACTGCAGCCTGGGCGACAGAATGAGACCCTGTCTCAAAAAACAAAACAAAACAAACATACTATTGCAGTATAGAGGAAAAATAGATCAATTAGGAGATTAATTCAACAAGTAGCTGCTTGATGAGCTGCTAAGCAAGTGTTGTATTCTAGAGCTGGAGAGAGGGACAGTCCCTCCACCTGAGTTTACTGAATTACCTAACCACCACAGTCCCATGCGAGGCAGAGAGGGCAGATACCCAGCTTAGCCATGAGGAAGGGAGCTGAGATGAGGGTCCAGAGATGCCGCAAGTTGATTGTTGAATGCTGGATGAGGCTCAGTTCATAGCAGAGGATGTGGGGGAGAAGGACAGAAAACAGCCATGTGTAGAAGCATAAAGAGGAGAGAAGATAGAATGTTGATTTTCTGAGCTTGCTGTAATCAGAGAGTAGGTGTGTGAGGGGAAGTAGGAGGAGATAAGGCTGGAAAGATAGCAGGGACCAGTTACTGAAGGGCCTTAGTCCAGTCTGAGATGTTTGCACTTCTTAAAGTCATTGGAGTAACTTGACTGAATGCACAGTTTAGAACTGACAGTACTAATATGGAGTGTGGGTTGGAGGAGAGAAAGATCACAGTAGGCAGACCATTTAGAAGATTTATGATGTAGGCCGGGCGCGGTGGCTCATGCCTGTAATCCCAGCACTTTGGGAGGCCAAGGTGGGTGGATCACAAGGTCAGGAGTTCAAGACCAGCCAGGCCAACATGGTGAAACCCCATCTCTACTAAAAATACAAAAAATTAGCCGGGCGTGGTGGCGGGAGCCTGTAGTCCCAGCTATTCGGGAGTCTGAGACAGGAGAATAGTGTGAACCCGGGAGGCTGAGCTTGCAGTGAGCCAAGATCGCGCCACTGCACTCCAGCTTGGGCGACAGAGTGAGACTCCGTCTCAAAAAAAGAAAAAAAAAAAAGATTTATGATGTAATCCAGAGAAAAAATGATGAGGATCTGAATTAGGGCAGAGAGGGGAGAGAGAAAGAAATGGAGCTGAGAGACCTAGGAAGAAAAACTAAATCATTTGGATGCAGAGAGCTGTTAATAGTAACATTTGCATTTCGGCTTGGGAGACTGGAAAAGAGAATAGAGAAAAAGGTGAAACATTCAGAGTCAGAGAGAAGTGGGAGGTCCAGGTAATCTCTAACTCGTTTTGAGACCATGGATAGGTTGATTCACCCCTCCAGTCCTTCAGGATCCTCATCTGAAATGAAGGAGATGTAAGAATCCTTTTTGGGCACTTCAGGCTCTGAAGCACAGAGTTGTGGTTAGAGTTCCATTAGTTTAGTTAGTGCTGTAGCTAAAATGCAATAGTGTTGTTTCTGTTTTCCAGGGCAAATGACACAGCTTTGTGAACTGATCAACAAGAGTGGGGAACTCCTTGCGAAGAACTTATCCCATCTGGACACCGTGCTCGGGGCTCTGGATGTACAAGAACACTCCTTGGGCGTCCTTGCTGTTTTGTAAGGGGCATCTTCTTTTATAGTTTTGTGCTTGTTAAAACTGAACATTCTGCACTTTCTGCCTTTATTTTTATTTATTTATTTATTCAAGACGGAGTCTCAGTCTTAGTGGCGCAATCTCAGCTCACTGCAAGCTCCGCCTCCTGAGTTCTCACCATTCTCCTGCCTCAGCCTCCCAAATAGCTGGGATTACAGGCGCCCGCCACCACGCCCGGCTAATTTTTTGTATTTTTAGTAGAGACGGGATTTCACCGTGTTAGCCAGGATGGTCTCCATCTCCTGACCTTGTGATCTGCCCGTCTCAGCCTCCCAAAGTGCTGGGATTACAGGTGTGAGCCACCGCGCCTGGCCCTGGCTTTATTTTTATTTCCGTCTCTCTATTAGGAAAATAAAAAACTAAGCCACGGGCAGGAGCGGGGGCCTGTAGTGCCCAGCCTACTTGGGGGAAGGCTGAGGCAGGAAGAATGGCGTGAGAACCCGGGGGGGGCGAGCCCCATTGCGTGACGCCTGAATCCCGGCCATGCCTGGGCAGCCTGGAGGCGACAGAGCGAGACGTCGTCTTCAAAAAAAAAAAAATAATTAAAAAAATAAAATAAAATA